CCATCACTCTCGGTGCCTACGACTACACGATCCAGTATAAGGAGGGGAAGAACATGGCGAACGCAGATGCCCTCAGTCGTTTCCCCCTCAAGTCATCACCAGTGGAAGTCCCGAGACTTCCTGAGCTAGTACATCTGGTGGAATATCTGGAGTCCACGCCGCTCTCCTGTAAACAGATCAAACTCTGGACCGACCACGATACAACCCTATCGAGGATCAGAACGTGGGTGCAGGAGGGATGGCCTGACAAGGGATCTACTGATGACGACCCTGGCCTCCAGCCGTACTTCAGGAGAAAGAATGAACTAAGCTCGGAGGGGGGATGTGTGTTGTGGGGGAACAGGGTGGTCGTACCGGTGAAGGGAAGAAAACACGTGCTCGACATGCTACACAAAACACCCAGGAATTGTCCATATGAAGGCACTCGCCCGTGCATACTCGTGGTGGCCTGGCATGGACAGGGACATTGAGCAGTGTGTGAAGCTCTGCAACGAATGCCAGTCTTTACGCAAAATGCCACCGGCAGCTCAACCACACCCATGGGTGAGACCAGATCGTCTGTGGTCACGAGTGCATATTGACTATGCAGGTCCCTTTCTGGGGAAAATGTTTCTACTCGCCATCGACGCACAATCGAAGTGGCTAGAGATTCATGCCACCAACACGTCCACGTCTACCGCAACGATAGAACTGTTACGCAAGACCGTTGCAAGTTTAGGTTTGCCCGAAGTAATTGTCTCCGACAATGCGACAACGTTCACGAGCGAAGAGTTCACAGAGTTCCTGAAACAGAATGGAATCCGTCATGTGAGATCTGCGCCGTATCATCCTGCCTCCAACGGTCTCGTTGAGAGGGCTGTTCAAACATTCAAGGACAGCATGAAACGTCTCACGATAGGATCTCTGGAAACTCGGCTCTCACGGTTCTTATTCCGATATCGCATTACGCCACACACGTCAACTGGGACATCTCCCTCGGAATTGAAAAAAAAGACTTCGTTCACCACTTGATTTGCTCGTGCTGTCAAAGTCTCCCTGTAGCGACGAGCTTCCGCGCCCACTGGATGACTCCCCAGCATTGACACGCCAGTTCTACGTTAACGATCGAGTTTACGCCAGGAGCTACAGTTCTGGGCCGCGATGGCTACCTGGGGTTGTGGTCAAGATCAAGGGAAACGTCATGTACGAAGTTCGCTTGATTGACGACCGTCATCTGGATCAACTACGTTCAAGAGCAACACTGGAAACCGACATGGTCCCATCAGACGTGAGGGATGAGCCGATTGTTGTCGATGAAAGTGACGAACGTAGAGACCTTCCTCAGGAACCGGAAACCGCCATTGGCAATGGTGAAAGAGAGTCGCCATCCACCCCACCAGTGGCAGTGCCCGACAATGCACAAAGGACACCCTCAGTGGATCCGTCAGTAGAGCCAGAGGACGAAGCTTCAAGTGAACTCAGGAGATCCACTAGGGTCCGACAACCACCTCACAGGTTTTAACAACAGTCATATATTTTTGGTATCTTGAGTTGGTTGTCTTTTTCTTTGGCTTGTTTGTAACTAAGGGGGGAGGATTGTTGTGTATTGTGCATTTTAGTTATGATAGTTTGTGTACCTAGGATTGCGTAATTCAGGTATGAGTCATCCTACGTCATACATTGTCATGTGAGTATATAAGGCATGCTGATTGTACACTAGCTAGAGGCCATTGACCGATCTTGTACTGAGCTCAATAAAGAGATTATTATTTTGCTAATACTCTCGGCCTCTCGTGCGTGCTGCCCGATCGTGAAGGACACGACATTACACCAGGTAACTATTTGCAGTAGAAAATGGAGGGCCCAGCATTGTGGCACCCAATAAGCAGCAAGGCCACTGGCACAAGGTTTTCCATGTATAATTATAGTTGCCATGGAATCAGCATATCAACCAGCTTGATACATCTTGTTCTTTACTTACATAGGAATAATATGTCATGGTTTACTAGTCTTTGCTGCAATCTGATTCAGGAGCTAGCTCACTTGAACTTGCTTTAGGTTAATATTGCATAACTAATGTATGCTTGCATACATGTGTTGACAAAAGATAAAGGGTAAAAGTTGGAAAGAGAAGATGAGAGAGATGCTCACCAGTGGGGAATAGGGACTGGACTCTCTCTAGAACATGGTGATACTGTCCACCTCTCAGCCAGTAGAGGGCATCCGACACATGCTCCCATGTCAGGTGAGGATGTTCAGTGGAAATCACTCTGAGCAGTTCTGCTTTCCTCTTCTTATCACTGGACAACTGAGACTTTATCTTATCCAGTATGGACTCTGGCACACGCATCCCCAGACCAAAGTCCCTCCACAGTGTGTCAGGTAATGAGTCCAGAGCTGACGTCAGGTTGGAGAGAGTGAGGCTGATATCTGTGAGGATCAGAGGAACACTTTCATACAACATTCATAACTGACATGCCCAGTCCACCAATTTCTTGTCATATCAATAAACCTCCCACTACAGTCTGTAGTACCATGTAAGCCCGTGTCATGAATAACGTTGTCCATGATGAATTATAGAGAGTGGGTGGGTTCTTACACATCTCGGCTATTTACAGCACAAACTATGGCTTACGCATACTCAATGTACGTACACATGGACAGAGTATTACAGTACTGTACTGCAAATGTACATTCTCATACTGACCATGTGTGTGTGGTAGGTATTGTCTGACAGTCTCCAGGGCCGTGTGCTCCTCCAGGCACCATAACACACCAGCTATCCTCCCCCACGACACACCAGGTACAGTCTGGAGGCAATACCGCAGACCAGCCACTCTCTTCTCTTCTTCACTTGATCCACTGTCTCTGATCTGATTCCTCACTGACGGAGGAACACCAAGAAGCCTCAGTAGCCCAGTCTCGAACCTAGTACCCCAGAACTCTCTCACAGTAGCCACAGCACGTACTACAGAGTGTAGAGTGAGGCTGTCATCTGGAGGAAGGAGGGGCAGGAGTGACAGTAACAATAACAAAATGACTAACATCTTCAGCAGTCTACAGACTGGACTGGCTATGATACCACCTGTTCCATCATTTGTAGGTGCATGTAAGTTACAAAAAATTATTAAAGGAATTGTGTCAGTACTTAAGCGCTAAATTTTACTACTCCATTGTGTTTAGTTACTGTAAGCAGGTGAATGTAGGCATAACACATAGATATATATGTACTACGGTAGATTGATCCCCTCCGAGCTCATGTGGGTATTCCCCGGGTAATCGAGATAAGCCAGGTGTTACATAACCCCCCTTTTATCAAGTGGGTAATTTAACTAGCTGAGCATGTGCAATGGTAACAGGCTCTTTGGGGTGCATGAGCTGCGTGGGTGAATGCACCCCAATTAATGTTTAGACCATTGATTGTGATTAGCCTACCAGTAAGTAAAAACATGCTATGGATACACATACCCGTTAGAGGTTCGGCATTGGATCTTATGGAGTCGGCCAGCTCTGTTTCTACCATCCAATCCAGGGCAAAAATCAGTCTCCTCCAGCTGGCTAGAGGGTCGGTGTTGATCCAGTAGGATATAGCCAGCTTCTTTTGATCCATCTCTTCTGGGAAGTTGGCCTTGATCTCTCTCTGCTTTGATTCAGGTATGTGAAGCCAGCGTGTCAATGACCCACTCTTCCATCCACCCCACCACCTCTTCACCTCCCTCACTACTGCCAGTACATTGGAGGTAGTGAGGGGAACACCTGCCATGGAGTACACACATGTAGTGATGTATAACATCTGTACTATATATAGACTCTGAACTAGCTCATTAATTTTCATTCATGAATAGTGTAATGCACGTGACCAGAGGAGGTTGCGCGCAATCAACATTCCTAAGCTGTCCGCGTATGCGGTTATAATGTAATCAAGTATCGTAGCTCCGAAAGGAAGTGGCTCTAGCTGGTGTTCAGGCGAGCCAAGACCTTTCTATCTCTCGATTGTTTATATGTCCAAGAGTGTACTACAGAGAACACTCGTAGCCTTGCAAACGTCAGTGTGCCATTCTGCAGAAAGTGCTGACTCAGCGGGTTGACTGGGTTGCATGGGCAAACATACAACTCTCTGAAGTGCACGTGACGCAAGCAATGACACGTGCACAACCTCTTCTGCCCGTGGACCAGACCCTTCGTGCGTGAGGAAGTTGCGCACAATCAACATTCTGTCCGCGCATGCGGTTATAATGTAATCGACGAGACCCTTCGTGAAGTGCTTGTGCACCGGATGTGGGTGGGGCAAATGGCCTTTCAGAATGGTCACGAGACTACAGAGGGGTGTGGTTTAGTTTACTGGGCAGGGAGGCTGAGTCAACAGGTCTCTCAAAGTTTGTTAAATGAGGCAGCTGGGAATCATCTAATTGTCCCAGCTTCTATAGAGACAAAACTATATTCCCTCTTATTTCAGGTCCACACACTTTTGAACACAACTCTCCCTCTCTTCACCCAACTACCATTCTGAAACCACTGAATCGGCCCACGCGCTAGTCATTGAACTAACTGGTACTTACTTCGTTTCCCTCTCAGAGTGCTCTGGGCCATTTTACTGGGTTAGCTACTGTCTGTGGGAGAGAGAGAGAGACTCGGCGGCTTCCTGGACAGCAGATGAAGGCCGCGCTCAGCCCGGCACAGGGCCGGCCGGCCGGCGGACGGTCTACCTCGACGTGTAGGTGTGTACGTGTGTGTGTAAGCAGCAGTAAACAGCTAATACGAGCCCCACCCACAAAAACCAAATGCGCATGCGCGCGTGGTGGCCCATGCCTGTTGCAGTGATCAGCTCATCCTCAAATATTTTATGAAAGATCCTCTTGTACTGCGACCGAGTCACGGCCTCCACTAGCTCCTATCCTCCACGAACCAGAGTTCATTCTCCAGACTGGTCCTCAGTCACATTGTTACTATTCGGAGCAGCCTACTGTATGCATCTTATCTTCCTCTGCTAAAGCGTTGGTTGCAAGAGACTGTAGCACAGCAAAAATAGGCCATGGGCACATTCCTTTTGCTTCACACCTATTATGCACATGTGGAAACTCTTTCTCCAATATACAACTAAGATTATCTTTTATTATGCAGAGTCTTCCGCTCCTACTGTGCCAGGAACCAGCACTTCCAACACTTATAATCCACTCATACAGCAGATGTGATAATTATGTTTTAGCAAATTTTTTTATGCATAGTGGGACTAGAGGTGCATTTTTGATGGAGAAAACCAACAAAGCCACTGAAAGTTACTTGTTGAATAATAATGAGTCCATACGCACACATTTCCAGGTAAATCTTTCAATTTCAGCTTTAACCCCTCTCCCCCCTCACCAGGAAAGCTACCTGTCCCTAGCCAACTCCCTCATCTCCTCCCAGTCAGATCCCCAGAACCAGAGCAGGCTCATGGAGGCCTTCTCTCTCCTCACTCCTCCCTCTCTCCCTCTGGACTCCAAGAGAACTTCCAAAATCACTTTCAGAAAGAACCTCGAGCAGTTTCTACCGTTTGTGAAAGGTTTCTTGTGTACAAATGACGACGTTTCATCATCAGTTGTTTTCTTTTTTACCATTATAGCAAACTATCTGGGTCGGATACCATATTGGACCGCAGTCACGCGCAATGACAATCAGATACAGAATTGCGGGGGGGTTTATTTTTAATAGACACCTCGTCAGGTGTCAATGGCGTGGCAGGTGGTTCTACAGCAATCCCCGTACAAAATGGCATTCTCAAAGTCGTTATCTGCGCAAAACCGGCGATTCCGCTTCGGTTTATAAGGCCAGCTGACTGGCAAAAGTAGCCTTTTAAAAGGCGTAGATTTGCACTGCAAGAAGTCTGTGGACAGTCTCCGGAGCTCGCGAAGTCAGAAATCACGTCAACATTCCACGAAAAAAGCGTCGGCTCTTTAGCTCTGCGATAAACAAACACATTTTGGGCCGTTGCGTGCGTTGCTAACCCTTTCAAAAAACCGCACCACCAATGAGGGAGTTTTTTTATTGATGACGCGTAAACGATTTTGACGGGGGCGGGGGCTGTCTCCTCGGAGTCTCACAGTTATTAAAAAAGGCGTCTTGTTCCATCCGAAGGTAAGGACTGGAGGAATGAGCGCAGCGTTGCTAGCGGTGGTACCCATTTGAACGCGCCAAACACCATCAGATTCTCCGGTATAAAACCGGTTTTTTTTTTTTTTTTTTTTTTTGTGAGGGTTTGTTGTGGGGGCTGTTTGGGGTGGGTGTGGGGGGGTGGTGGTGGGTGTGGGGGGGTTTTGGGGTTGGGGTTGTTGTGGTTTGTGGGGTTTGTTTTTTTTGTGGCGGTTGTGTTTTTTTTTGTTTTTTTTTTGTTTTTGTGGTTTTTTGTTTTGGGTGTTTTTGTTGTTTTTGTTTGTTTTTTTTTTTTTTTTCTTTTTTTTTTTTTTTTTTTTTTTTTGGTGGGGTTTTTTGTGTTTTTTTTTTTTTTTTGTTTTTTTTTTTTTTTTTTTTTTTTTTTTTTTAGCGCGGAAGCTCGGTTGTCTAGCTAAATTGCAACCCTCGGGGCATGTGGGTAGAGCCCCTCGCTGCGCTCGGGACGGCAAAAGTCGCACAGCCCCTCGGGTTGCAATGAGCGTAGACACCTCGCTCCGCGTCTAACCTATATGAGGATGTATGCTTTTTATTCATCGTGAGACTGTAATCCTGTGAGGAGAACATAGATGTACTTGCTAGTTGGTGGAAGTTTGTGCACAACTTTTGCTGATTAATGTTTGTAGGTTACACCACAAATGTCGCAGACAAGAACCAAACAACGAGTTCCTCCCCTACTGTTTCTCATGTTACCAACAACTGCAACAAAGGCATGGTGCCCCCTAATTAGAATCAACTAGTAGAACAACGCAACCATTTTTGGTGAGCGAATGCGAGCGTCACCCACTCCTTCAAATAAACATACTGTATAGTGTGCAGTAGTGTCCGTATACTATTTGGAACCTCTCCGAACAGGGACACTCTGGGTGTCCAGACGATTTGTCCGTGTAGAGAGGTCGTCCTATCTCGAGGTCACTCATACATCCCACAGTATTAGCATGGGTTGAAAGTTGATGAAACAGTGTCCTGTAAAAGGTTGTCCCTATATCGGAGGAGTCCCTTATCGGAGGTTCCACTGTAAGTGTGAAAAAGACTGAGTGAGTAGACTTGCTCCCCTTGCCTAATAGCAGTATGCTTGCTGTGTTGTGTTGGACAGTTAACCTCACAACTAAGAAACACAAAAGAGGCAGCATTCTACTAGGCTACAGAGTCCATACGTCAGTGTTGATTAGTCATCCGAGGCAATCAAAATCGAGGGTGTCCAGAGAGAGAGTCCTAGCAGACTGGAGAGGGTTCGTGGAGAGAATGTTGGATTCCTGAGACTCAGTTCTGGGCTGGAGCTGGCACTGTGGGAGGAGGAAAGGAATTTGGCGTGATAGTTCATAGCTTTTGAATAGTCGCACTGCCCTACCAGTTAAATTCATACGACTGTTCTAATACTACTGTACTAGAGGCATGCTTGTATAGTGCAGTGCCTGTCTCAATTCCTGTCTTGACATATATGACTCTAGACTGACTATATACTGCTACATACAGACTGGAGTCCATAATGTACACCAGAAAAGGGCCAGGCATGCACAGATAATGTTTTGACAGACAGCATGCTAGAGTACTGTCCTCTTTACTAATGATCATACTGGACTTACCACTAATGTTGCATGGCAACAATATCTCTATCTAGAGTGCACCAAATGTAGCATTGTACTGGTCACTGTGAGTATGGACAGATGTATACACATATGTGTATGTACATCTCTGTCACACTGACCTTTGTACTTGGTGCAATGGTATGGCAGGCGTTGTTGTTCCCTCCTATGCGATGGGCCACTGCCTCCACCAACATCTTCCACGAAGGCAGTCCGAAACGCTCCGTGTTGTAAGACTGGTTCAGCCACTCGATCACCATCTCTGACAGACATCTTCTCATGTTGTTTTGTCTCTCCTTTTCGATCCTGTCCAGGATGGGCTGTCGTAGTCTGAGAGCTCCTCCAAGTGACATCCACATGTGAGCCACGTCACCCAGTTCAGATACCACATCAAAATGGTCATCTATGTCTGCACAAAAGTTGAACGTGTAATATCGGCTAACTGGTTAGATAAAGGTCATTAAAGTAAAGGATGCACCCACTGTTTTAATGTGTACATTACACATACCTAGTGTGGACTGTTGGGAAGTGGTAGGAGGTGGCTGGGAGTGTGTAGTGGTGACTGGTGCTGCCTCTGACACTGCTGACTGCTGCTGGTTGCCTGCAGTACAGTACACACATGCTTTCAGTGTTAGCTCAGAACAGAGCTTGCAGGATTACAATGGGGATCTGAACTACATAGGTACTGGATTGGGTGTAATCCACTTACAAGCCTCGTCACCACCCAGGGAAGCACAGTGTCCAGCTCTGCCAGAGTCCCACGGACACCCATGTCACTGTTGCAGTTCCATTTTCCGTCCTTGATGTAGGCTGTGTGGGCCTGTCTGAGTGGCTCTTTGGACAGATGATGGCTGGCCGTGGCTTGTTGTGTGAGTAGCCCAGCATGTCGACACCTTTCAATTCCGTTGAGATGGATTTGTCGACGTGTTGCCATAGTTTCTGTTCCTCTTCCTTGCTGGTGGTGTCTGAGACGTGGGCCTCGAAGTACCGGAAGCGATCCACCAGAGTGACGGAACCGAAATCTGGGACATGGAACTCGATGCAGTCGCGATAGAGGCATGTTGGCAGGTTGGAGGAGAGGCAGAGTTTCCAGGGGTGGGGGTGAGGGTGCTGGGGAGACAGGACGTGGGCCATCAGTGAGCAGAAGATTCCGTTCTGGGGACCTCCGTCGGGGAAGTCTACCACTAGGGGACCGGCCGACACGCACACTTCCTTCACCTTCTCCTCCGCCACTTGTCTCAGGACACTCGGCATCAACCAGGTCTCTGGACCCTCCTCACTCTCCAGTTTGGCAAACACCAGCAGCTCCTCCAGAAGGTGGATCAGATCCTCGCAGCTGAAAATCCCGCGGTGGTAGTGGCTGCTGAATCGCTTGTCCTCCAGGAAGGCCTTTGTCACGTGTCCAAACTTCTCAAACTGCTGCCAGCCTGGAGGGAGGAGAGACTCGTCTGCTGTCTGGGATGAGGTGGTGGCTGCTTTCTTGGGAGTCGTGCCGTCTGTGTTGGTGGAGGTTGGCTCTGGCTTGTCAGTGTCTGGTCCAGGAGTCTGGCCTTTGGCTGCTGCGGCTGACGTCTTGTCTTCCTCTTCCGGCTCTCGCAGCTCAAACATGAACACCACCAGCTCCGAGACCTTGTCCAGAATGACTTGTGGGTCGATGAACACCACTTCGGGGAGGATGTCGCGGAAGTAAAACATGAGGCTCCAGTTGTGGAAGAAGTCTAGGGCTTCGTTGAAGGAGTCCGCCTCCAGTCCCAGAGACTGCGCCACACGCCAGCATTCCTCGCGACTCATCACCTGCCCTCCCCACACCCTTGGCCAGGCTTCGCAGCTTCTCCTCAAAGGCGTCCCATCTCACCGGGATCTCCACTTCCTTTGCCGGGCACTGCTCCAAGATGTAGCTCCGAACCTTCTCCGCCGTCTTCCTGTCCGTGTCGTCTGGATTCAGGGCATTGATCTCGAAGATGAGTGTCTTCTTGTCCAGCTGGATGATCTGCTTCTCAAACTTTGCCGGGATCAGCTTCTTCAGTCGCTCGTTCTTGTCTGCCACCGTTTCGGGGAGACATTTGTGTGCCAGGTCGCGGTGGGTGCGAGGAAGAGCAGCTTCGAGGGCTGCCCCTTCGTTTTGGAGGTGAACGTGTTGATGGTTTGGATGAACTTCTTCAGGTTCTCTTCGTTGGTTCGGATGCAGCGGTAGGGCTTGGAGACGGCCTTGCCCCTGCGCCAGTAGCCAATCTGAGGGTGTTCGTCCAGCGACTGTGACAGGTCCATCACCAACACACAGGCCGAGGTCTCGCCAAGGAACACGGCCATGGCTTCCATGAACTCAGGCTGTCCTCCGCTGTCCACGACGTACACCACTGTCTCGTCCAGGAGCGTCTCGTGAGAGTCGCTGGGCATGTTGATGAGGGAGATGTACTCTTGGTCCTCCTCAGATGACTGCAGCAGGGACTCCAGTGTCACCTCTGCTGGGGCTGCTCTGGACGACCTGTCAGGAACGGCTGTTGATGTGTTTGTGGTGGGACTGCCAGTGGTTTTCACTGGCTGTGTGGCTGTGGATGACTGCTGGGCTGAAGACGAGGGCTGGGCTGGGGAAGACGGAGCAGGTGTGGGGAGGGACGCTGGGTCTTTGCTGGTGAGAGAGGCTTGGCCTAGTCGCTGGGCCCGCTCTCGCAGGAGGCTGGCAATGTATTTCTTCTTTCCTCCGGTTCCTCTTCTTCCAGTGGACCTTGTCATGGACGACGACCACCTCTGTTTGGACGGGTCTCGTCAGGAGTGGTGTGCTGGTGGTGCGCTGGTTCTTCTGCCAGTGGCTCCTCCCCAATCACTGTCTGTAGAGACGTTGATTTCTCCCACTGCCAGCAATCCCCACCATCACCAGTTTAGTCAGTTTTCGTTTGGTGACTGCCTCGCTTCATTTCTTCTGGTAGATCTTCTTGGCACGTCTTCTTCCTGGTGGTTATAGAAAGGCAAACATGTACACGTATAGTAAAGGTGTGTAAAGGTGTCAATAACTTCACTAACTTCACTTCACTAGATACTGATTCCAGGTAACTACGTACAACGCATAGGAAATGGAGGGCCCCTGCATTGTGGCAAAGTTAGGCTGCTGGCATAAGTTTTTTAACGTACATGTCTATATAGTTGCCAGAATCTCGACCGCCTTTGTAGATCTTGTGTTGTTTGCATGTACATTTGTCTGTCAAAGGTACTAGTAAACCTGAGCTTCGCGGTCTGTAAATTTAGTTCTGACCTCACTACACTAGATTTACACATAACTATTGCATGCATAGATGCATGGTGTTAACATTAAAGCAAAGATAGAGGGCAAAAGTTGGTACAAGTGGAGAGAGAGAAGATGAGAGAGAAGCGCCACTCAGAATAGGGACTGGACTCTCTCAAGAACATGGTGATACTCTCCATATCAAGCCAGGTCTGGGTAGAGGCATCTGACACATGTCTCCATGTCATGGTGAGGATGTTCAGTGGAAATCACTCTGACAGTTCTGCTTCCTCTCCTTATGAGACCTTATCTTATAACGGATGGACTTTGGCACATCATCCATCCACCAAGTCCCCCCACAATCTGTCAGGTAATGAGTCCAGAGCTGACGTCAGTGGAGAGAGTGAGGCTGATATCTGTGAGGATCAGAGGAGACCCTTGCATACAACATTCACACTGACATGACCAGTCAACCAATTTCTTGTCACATCCCTACACCACCTACTATATACTGTAGTATGTAACGTCAGTGTCATGAATAGTGTCCAGGATGAAAATTCAGAGAGAGTGGGTGGTTCTTACACATCTCGGCTATTACAGCAGCATCCACTTTACAAATTATGGCTTACCGCCATACTCAATGTATGTACACATGGCAGAGTATTACCGTACTGTACTGCACATGTACATCTCATACGACATGTGTGTGTGGTAGGATATGTCTGACAGTCTCTCCAGGAGACGTGTGCTCCTCATGAACATAACACACCAGCTATCCTCCCCCACGACACACCAGTGTACAGTCTGGAGGCAGTACTGCAGACCAGCACTCTCTTCTCTTCTTCACTTGAGTATGATCTACTGTGACTGATCTGATTTCCACATGACCGAGGACAGGAACACCAAGAAACTCAGTAGCCCACCCTCTGACCCAAAACCCCATACCGTCTCACAGTAGCACAGCACGTGCTACAGAGTGTAGAGTGAGGCTGTCATCTGAGGGAGGAGGGGCAGGAGAGTGACAGTAACAATCACAAAATGACTATCATCTCACCAGTCTACAGACTGACTGGCTATGATACCACCTGTTCCCCATCATTGTAGGTACATGTAAGTAACAAACCATTGTTGCAGGTCTGAAAGGAATCTGTGTGTCAGTACCATAAGGGATGAAATTTGCAGATTTCAGACAATATTTCTCCACTGCACAGTCTGTTTAATGATGTAAGCACGTGAATGTAGCATAAGACACCGATATGTATGTAGGTAGTAGAAACTTTGATTGAAAACAGTGGTCAATGGTAACAGGCTCTTTGGGGTGCCTGAGCTCTGCGTGCGTGTGAATGCACTGCCAGTACATTGGAGGTAGTGAGGGGAACACCTGCCATGGAGTACACACATGTAGTGATGTATAGCATCCGTATATACTCTACGTAAGAACCACATGACAAAAACGCGTGTTCCATACATGCCAATGCTCATAAGCGTTGTATTGGAAGTATGCATAGTAAGCGATATGGTTTACTAAAGAGAGAGGGAAGTCTGAGGACATGGGCTGGTACTCGCCCTCGTGCCCACGTCCCTGCAAAACACCGTTACCAAGTCTCAAGACAAACAGGCTATCGAAAAGTGCTCCTATATACAAGAAACCGTTGTAGAAACGGTATGATCGACACAAAGCACAAGTTCTTAGAGGATTTTCTTCACGGAATTCTACAAAGGTATGTGTGGAGGAGCTAGGCAACAACAATTTGGTGCGTGGCTTGGTCTAATGCTATCCACTGTCTACTGCTCATAGCTTGCTGTATTTGTGCAGCAATTGGAACATTTGAATAG